TCTATAAATATATATCTATAGATATAGATATATATCTATATATATATTCGTGTTTTTTTGTAGGACTGCTGAACCGTACTGTGAAATGGTTAGATGAAAGAAATAAAATTGAGGAAATAAAAAAAACAAAAAAAAACCATAGCATAAAAATGATCTAACTACAACACAGCTACTATATTGCCATATTGAATTGCTTCATCATTTAGTTGAATTATAAATGCATGCAATGTAACTGACAATTGTAAATCTTTGTACATTTGGGTAATGTTTGTATTTTATTTGAAAACAACTAACGATTAAACAATGCAATATTAAACATATTGTTGTTTTTATTTCTATTATTATTATTGTTTATTTCTAGTGTTAATAGAAACAAAATTAAAAAAACTTTAAAGAATAATAAAAACATTTAGTAGAGGAATCATTTAAACTTAAGTTCGTTTCTAATTTCCAGGAGTTTTTTTTCCCCTTAGTAATATTTAATCAGTTCCTTGAATAGTAACTTGTTTTTTTACTCTTTTTAGCCCATCTTGATTTCAGGTGCGCAATCGGAATCTGGAGATTTTTTCCCCCAATGTTACTTAATAATTAGGTATTTCCCTTATTAATAATTACGATCTTTGTCAATCAAAGAGAGTACTCTCAGATACCCGATCAGATAGTGCAACTTTTCTAATACTGACTTAATAATAAATTATTTCCCTTCCTAATATTAGTTGCTTTAATAATTTTTACTCAAGCTTGTGTTGGCTTTAGATACTGAATTAGATTATGTTTTTTTTTTTATTTCCCTTAATAATTAGTCATTTTCTTTTATTATAATTACTAACCATATTTTTTATTTCAGTCAAGCCTGTATTGATTCCGGGGTGATATTTTATTCCCTATAACCTGTTTGTGTGGGCTAGTGGAAGTCGGTATGAATAGAAATTGCCATTTTGGTAACAATGGAATATTCAGGGGGACATTAAATAATTTTTGGTACAAGGATCTTAGCAGGGGTTATGAGCCCATAAAGCAGGTTTGGACAGTCTTGTTGCTCCTCTGTATTAATGTTTCGCTCTTCTGCAGCAGGGAAAACCCGGACAAAGGACAAGTATCGGGTTGTCTACACAGACCACCAGCGGCTGGAGCTGGAAAAAGAGTTTCACTACAGCAGGTACATCACCATCAGGAGGAAAGCGGAACTGGCGGCCACTCTGGGGCTCTCTGAACGACAGGTATGACCATGAGGGAAATTAATGCGATCCTAATGCACCTGATAAGAGACTCAGCAGCCACACCGTTAACCATGACCATTTATTATGCCACAAAAGCTGTCTAGGAATGGTGACATTAAATCCACATTAATCAATGGTTAGTGTATGGAATTTCAACAGTGCTGCATACCAGCACACCAGAAAAAAAAATTACTAACCATTTTTTTTATTTCAGTCAAGCCTGTATTGATTCCGGGGTGATATTTTATTCCCTATAACCTGTTTGTGTGGGCTAGTGGAAGTCGGTATGAATAGAAATTGCCATTTTGGTAACAATGGAATATTCAGGGGGACATTAAATAATTTTTGGTACAAGGATCTTAGCAGGGGTTATGAGCCCATAAAGCAGGTTTGGACAGTCTTGTTGCTCCTCTGTATTAATGTTTCGCTCTTCTGCAGCAGGGAAAACCCGGACAAAGGACAAGTATCGGGTTGTCTACACAGACCACCAGCGGCTGGAGCTGGAAAAAGAGTTTCACTACAGCAGGTACATCACCATCAGGAGGAAAGCGGAACTGGCGGCCACTCTGGGGCTCTCTGAACGACAGGTATGACCATGAGGGAAATTAATGCGATCCTAATGCACCTGATAAGAGACTCAGCAGCCACACCGTTAACCATGACCATTTATTATGCCACAAAAGCTGTCTAGGAATGGTGACATTAAATCCACATTAATCAATGGTTAGTGTATGGAATTTCAACAGTGCTGCATACCAGCACACCAGAAAAAAAAGACCTATATGCATTCTTTTTGTGGAATGTGTTGAAACATAAGGCTATCCATTGCCCATGGACATATGGTGGCAGCCTGGATAGGCCAGTTATTTCAGCGGAATGTTTGTTCACCTAGTAAATGCAGCCTTGTACAAAGGATCTGTTGTAGATGAGCCTTTTTTTACATTTCACTTTACATGATTGAGTATTTAAAGTGAAAATGGCTTTGCCTTATTTACAAATTTAAGTGCACATAATCTTTTCTGAGTAAAGAGCCCACCATACTAAATCAATCTCAATCAGTAGCAAGCCAAGCCTGATGGGGGGGGGGGGTTGGTTGATACACTACAGGAGTACAGAATATTCACATAGCTTAGTGAATAAGGCGAAGCTATGTTCAGATTGAGTGCCCAATAATATGTAGGGGAAATAGCAGGGCCCTCCTACCTCCTTGCTGAAATCGTAATGTTAATTGTATTGTCTCCCTCAGTTTTGTAAATTGCTGCGCAAACTGTTGGTGCTATATAAATCCTGTATTATTATAATAATAATAAACATGATGACGGGTAAGGTGAACACACATTCACTTTATTCACTGAGCTAAGTCAACTTTCTCTACCCCTTTTTTTAAATAAACCCCTGTGATTTACCCACATTCTGCTGGAAGTTTTAATCAATATCATAAGCCCAGTGAGTGTGACACATTATATTGCACAGTATAATTTATATAATATCTATCAATGTTATTGTACAAATTCAGTTAGAAAACATTAGGAACGTTAAGCTGCCAGGATCCTGGTGTTGTAATGTTCAGTTTAAGTGCTATATGTCCCCCACAGGATATGTTTGGTAGGTTCAGGAGATATTCTGTTTGCTAAGGTCACCTAAAAGAATATATGTGTACATGTGATCATGTATTAGCTTCTTAAAAGCACAAGGAATTTTTTGAAAAATGTTTACACATTTATTACCCATACATGTGTATGGGTAATAAATGTAACCATGTCAAGGGGTACTGAAGATATGTTGGCCAAGTGCATCAATATGTTATGTTTTAAAAATTAAAGTGTGCAATTCAGAGGAAAACAAAGCAGTAGTAAAGGAGATAACAGCAAACCTCTTAGAGTGACATTAAAGTCAAAAGTCCCCCCCCCCACACAATGCTAATGTAAGGATTTCTCTTAAATGATGTCTCTTAATCCAATCATCTTCTTCTTTACTGTCCTTTACAGCTGTCCCTCCAGCGCTGGTGCGGGTCTCCGATCCAGCGCTGACTCCTCTGTCCTCCTCTTCTCTCATGTCCCACGGAGTCTGTGCGGGTGCACACTGCTCCATATACTTACCTTGTGTCTCTCCTCGTCTCCCGGCCGAACATCTGAACGGCACATGCGCCCGCCCCAAGATCCTTTGCGGCCGACAGAGAAAATGTCAGATGTTCGGGAGCGCGCGGCGGAGACACAGGTAAGTATTAGCCCTTTGAAAAAGTTTAAAAAAAATAGTTTTGCATATATCTACTGCTTGCTAGCAGTTGATATATGCAAAAACATGCGAATGCTGGGATGTTTTGTGGGGGAGCAACTGCAGGTTGAGAGGTGTAGTGGTGTTATTTTATACTGGTTTTTATTTAAAGGGTTATTAAACCCTTTAAATAAAAACCAGTATAAAATGTAACAACAACCCCTCTCAACCTGCAGTTGCTCCCCCACAAAACATTGCAGCATTCTCAAGGTCCACAGGTTGTGGCTATGAGTAATCACGCATGACCGTACTGGCTGCTGCAAAACCTCTTGAACATATTCCTAAAGAACAACGTCCTGCAGGTACTCAGTTCTTACTTACCACTGAAATAATACAGTAAACATTTGCAAAGCATAACTAAGCAACTTCTTGTGGGTGTCTGAATAATAATATGATAATAGGATATAGGAAAAATATATTTTTACATTTTATTTTAAGTTTTCTTGTGTTAAAAGAAAATAAATAAAACAAAAAAATTGCAAAAACTTTTAATTAAACTAACTTTTGTAAATAATTCTCTATGATTAGTCATTTATCGCCTGATATTTGGAAGAGATGCAGGATATCAGAAAATAGCTTTTTTTTATGGGTTGGGTGCCATAATTGTTCTTGTTATACTAAATAAACCTGCGGGGCTGAACAAGAGAGATCTACGTGTGTATGACTAGCCTCAGGGTACATGCACACTTCTGTAATACATTTACTGATCATATATGTATGTTTTTTTTTTCTGTCCCCAAAAATTCTGGGTAATGGTCAGTCAATTGCCTGCGTTTATACAACATGTATGTGTTTACATGCGTAAAATTCGTGTTCCATTCTTCAAGCACTGTTTTCATTGTAACATTCCTATTTGGACTTCATATACACACTTATGCGCGCAAGCAAATTTGTACATGGATAAAACGGAGATGCAGATTTTTCTATCTTGTGTTACTCACCTATGTGCATTGGCTTAATTGAAAACAATACACCTGCATTCTGACCCATAAACCAAAAACACTTTGCATTGCCTTTTTTTTTTTTTTTTTACTACTGCCGTGTGCATGAGGCCTTCAAGAGGGCAGATAATTTCCCCCCAAAAAAGACCAAACTACCCAGGTTTGGTTACCATTAAGAGAACAACAGAGTCCAGAGATCTGACCACAGAAAGATTGTTGTACCAAGAAGTATCAGGTTAATGTGCATGTTTCTGCTTCTGGAGCATGGAAGGGCAGTGCAAGCATGCCATGGGAAAAGCAATAGTGATTGGATGGCTGACCGATCTTTCCCAAGCAAGCTTGGTCAGGGGGGTGTTTGGAAAGGTTTACAGAGAAATCCAAAAGAAAACAACTCCATTAGGTCAATGTTTTCCTATGTCTGCAGCAATGTTAAGTCACCTGCAATCTAACACTGTGCTTCATTTCCATAGCCACAGCAAACACATAAGACGAGTATAGAATAGGAGATGGTCAAACAACCAATATGGATGTTAGAGGAGACCCTTGCAAACATGCATATAGTGGGGGATGGTTTACTAGAAGTAGGGGGGTAGTCACTTGCAAAGTGAATGTTAGTAAAAGGTTTAATCTGTGTTCACTTTGAAAAGCCAATCAATTAACTCTAAAAAAAAGAGTCCATTCCATTCTAGACCCCATTCCATTCTAGACCCCAAAAAAGAGTCATAAAGCCAATAGTTTAACAATATCTGACAACAATAATGAACAGGGATAAAAAAATGCTAACAGGTTGGGTTCTATTACTTTGGAGATTGGGAAAGATGTATAAAATATATAGAGAATCTGTATCATTGCTAATTGTGTCTATAGAGTGATAAATAGGTAAAAATGTTTGTGTTGTAAACTATGGCAAAGTACCTGACAAATACTATACTTTCAGGTGAAGATCTGGTTCCAGAACAGAAGAGCCAAAGAACGAAAGATTAACAAGAAAAGAATTCAGCAGACTCAGAATGGGCAAAATGGACAGGATACCCTGAGCCCAGTGCACTCTTTGGGCCACATGATACCCCTGTCTGGAACCACTGTGGGCCCAATGACAAACCCCGTCACTCAGTGAAACGTTCGTCATCTTTTTTTTCTGACTGTGAAACAGAAGCCCTTCCTCTCCAGACTGGATAGTCAACCTTGAAAATGGAAATCAGATAGCGTGGAGTCTACCTGGCCAATTGTAGGTGAAGCTGTAGAAGAGCCAGAGAGCTGGCACCTCAATGGAAGTCTGAGGGAGAAATGGGCATTTTTATTTGTGGACTGTACTTTAAAGCCACATCTGTCTACCTTTTGCAAGGACCTTGATCATAAATCACCAGGACTTTAAAGGTTTGGGACAACAACTTCAGATTATAGACTTAATTATAATGTTTGTCTTTTTTTTATGTGAAATGGACTCTTCTCAGGAATCGGTTAGTAAACCATTTCATTTTACCCAAAGAGGGTGAATGTTTGTGGAGCGGTAAACAGAATTGCTCAGGACCTTCTACACATACATGGACCCTAGAGCTCAATACAACCCCATGATTCCAAGCACTGAATGGGGAAATTGGTTTTTCAAGTCTTGGGGGTACTTTGACTTTTCTGATACATCTTATTGGGGTAGAGGGTTAAATTTGATGATGACCGCAAATGCTGTGATCAGAGACTGAATGATACTTGTCGTTTTCGTGTTTTGTACATTGTCCCTGCTAATTATTAGCTTGAGTTTAATTTGACAACGTTTTGTATTTTAAATTATTTGAACTTTCGCGGGAGATGAGGAAATAAAACATTGTTTTCTGATAAACTTTTCTTGCTATAAAAAAAAAATATTCAATGATATTAAATAAAATAAGCCCCTTCTGCTTTGGGGAAAGAAAGGTGGTAGACAGGCATGATGCTACTTGAAGTTCTGCAATCATTTGGAAATGTATCAGTGAATAATTGGGTGGGATTACTAAAGGAGTTGAGAATTTTCAATCAGCAAATCTTCACCGTGTTCACTTTAAATTCCCAATCATGTGCAGATAATTAAAAAAGGAATTAGCTTTTCACAAGATTGGATAATTGAAGAACATCTTCACTTAATTTATTTAGTTAAGATTCTTAACTGCTTTAGTAAATTAGCCTCAACATTTTCAAGCTCTATTCTAGGCCCCAAAAAAGAGTCCATTCCATTCCATTCTAGACCCAAAAAAATAGCTAATTATATTCTAAAACCAATAAACGGGGTAATTGGATGTTTTTGACATAAATCTCATACACAGGAGTGTTTTTATGATTTCAAACTAAAAAGTACATAAGGTTAGATACAGCCAATTGATTTATTAGATTCTATACTCACTGCTTTATTACTATGCAGTCCCACATAAGCTTTAATATGTTAAATTAAGTCGTTTTAAATCTGCATCTTTTATTCAAATATTTCCTGGCCATAAAGTTTCAGGCACTTCCTTTTATGGGATGACAACTGTCTCTCAGTGGTTCTCTTGCATTGTCACCATCTCAAATGCACACCTTGCAGAGACCAAAAGCACCTGTGGTCCACCATTGTCACTTTCAGGTTTACACAGAGCTTTAAACTTAGCTCTAGAAGGTGCCCAAGGTGGCTGGATATCACAAGGAAGGTGAGGATGGGATTTGATATGGATATGAAGATTACCTGTCACCATACCTTGAACGGGTAAAGTAACAGATCTACTGTCAGGATTAGTGGCTCTTTTAGACATTTGCGGGTTGGTAGCTCTGGGTGTTGCAGCACCCTCTACAGGTTTACCATTAACTAACAAGTGGTATTTTGACCTCTCCTATCTACTACATGAGTTCAGCAGGGCTGGTCACACCTGGCTTGTTGTTTTTCAGCAACTCCCTATCTGCATATTTATTCTTGAAATATTGCTCAGCCTGCAATGTGTGCAGGCAGGAACTGAAGATTGCCATACATATGTTTTAACCTGTTCATTCACACAAGTCATCCTGACTTGTTCTATGAAGATGTTCTTCTGGTCCCAGGTGATCTGTGCCAAGACTTAAATTGCAATATCACAGTGTAACATCACTGGAATAAGTTGGCCCTGCATACAACAGAATATCATCGGTACATTAGATCAAAAGGTAACTACATACACCGAATGCTGGTAGAAAGACTTGTCAATATATTCCTTATTCTTGGCCAATCATTACAGTCCCTGAGATAAGGCTCTCACTGGAGGTGCCTGCATAGTTCAGAGCAAGCATGGATAAATAAATGGGTATGTGCTTTTTTGGTCAGGTAAATTGAGCATGTTGGCCACTAATTCTGCTGGGCACTACTAGGTGGTAAGTAGTCTGTGTCACCTAAAAAGTGACACTAAACTCAGGAGTTAAATCTTAAAAATGGATTCAAGTACCTTAGCTATTAACAAAAATGTATCTTATTTGTGTATCACTCGGCTGTAGATCTCAAATAATCTCTGAATGGGTGCTGACACTGTCCTTCCTTCTGGAGGGTGACTACTTGTGTTCCCCATGGTCCCTGTGTGTGTTGTAAAGTAGTCACCGCTCCAAGCTCACTCCCGTGATAGACTACAATCTCAATACAAATTTGTAAACTAAACGTGAGATTGTAGTCCATCACAGGAGTGAGCTTAGAGCGGTGACTACTTTACAACACACACAAAGACCATGGGGAACAAAAGTAGCCACCCTCCAGAAGGAAGGACAGTGTCAGCATGAATTCAGAGATGATTTGAGATCTACAGCCGAGTGATACACAAATAAGATTCATTTTCAGTTTCAGAGCAGCAGTCAAAAAGTGCACAGAAACCCCAATTGATCAGATTTACTAACAGTCACTTTGCAAGCTCAGCAGTTTCTACTCCTTTAGTAAATCAACTGTTGTAATATATTTTTATTTTGTGGCCATTTTTGATACAATACTGCTTAGGTGAGTGATTTCTTTTCAGTGGTCAGACAGAGAATGACTGTCAGCTGCTTGTTGTGTGTGTTCAGGGGAAAATAAACAGCAACTGCAAGGCTGTGAGATAATGAGTAATCGTTCTGCGTTCTGACTGTCTTATGCATTACATTTTTCATATTTTACACTGCCACACAAATAAACAGATCACCTGGATATCAGCCTAATTGTGACATTGGGTAAACATTTTGTGCAAAAAAGCACCTTATATCCTAATGTATCCTGAGGTGACCTATTGTTTAAAGTAGGGTTGCACAGATACCAAGTACAGTACTCGGTACAAGTACATGTACCGATACTTTTGAGCTCCAAGACTAGACTAGAGAAAAATTCAAAAGTTAGGAGGCAGCTGTCATTTGTAAGGAGCACACGGAGCTCCTGGGATTTGTCCATCTCTGTTTTAATGTACGATTTTGTTTTTATAAATATAAATAAAGGAATGCACAGATACCAGTTTTGCGAGTACGAGTACTGGTACTTGCCGAGTACTTACAAGTACGAGTACTGATACATTTTTGTTTATTGTCACGTGACAGTTTTTCTAAAGCAATACAGACTAATGATTTCAGGACAGTGGTGGAGTGCCAGAGCCAGGTCCCAGCTTCAACCCTGGTAGTTCTCATGAAAATGAAAAAGTATATGCACTGGTACTCGAAAAGAATCTGTGCATCCCTAGTTTAAAGGGTCACTGCACTCAAAACAAGCTCTTCAATGGACACGGAGCATGACATTTGCTGATCAGTAGGGGACATGTCAGACCTATTTCTTTCTTCCTTTTTTCCCCCTTCCTTTCTTTCCTAAAAAATGAAAGTTTAAAAGGGGTTTCTTTTTTAAACTCAGGAAAATATATAAAATATTGTATTGTTTTCTTTTTTTAGCCAGCAGGTGGGGCTGTAAGCTTCTTTTCACATGGTTCAGTCTATCTTTTTACACAAAAATGCCTGTTTACAGAGATCTGTAGCTCAAGCTACAATTTACAGAGAAGTACATGACTTATCATCAATAACTCATTACTTATCACATGGCTCAGTAAGAAAATTCTGTAGGATAAACTGAGCCTGATGCTAGACTGCTAATGCTGTGCTGTCTCTTTCTCTAACTCATAATGCTTTTGTAACCCTTTGTCATGCGTTAAATGTTTATGTGCAAAACATAGATAGTATATACACTATATTACCCAAAGTATTGGTACTAGAAACATACAGTGGTTAGAGCGCACTCCTGTAGGACAAACACAGGTGGGAAATGGATCTGCTGGGAGAAGGTGTGCAAAAAACTCCTCAATACAGGGGGAGGAACCCTGTGTAGCACAATTCAAGACCAACAAAAAAAGCACGTTTTTGAGGAGCGCGACTACCTATGATAGGAGTGATGGCCCAATGTGCTGAACTTGGAAGAATGCATAACAGTGTGCAATACAGACACCCAAAACTGATTAGTCATATAAAAGGGAACAAATTGGTGACTTACAGTTGGGATGTGAGCCTATATGCCCTGGTGTCTCTCACAGAATGTTCTCCACGGTCTGTTTAATGCGATGTCCACAGCTAGCAGGTGGGAAGAGAATGGGTGTCTGCCCGGACTGGAGTGGGAAAACGAGGTGTCAGCCGATGTCACAAACTCAGCTGGCCAGGCTGAGCCGCGGCGGCTGGGACGGGAAAGCAGTGAGCCGCGATCGGCTCCGTAGTCCCGGACTCTATGCGTGTGGTTACAGTGCTAGATGTGGCTGTCAGCGGAGTGCACAAAGATGGACCAGTGCGTGGGACAGTGAGGGATCTGTACGGGGGGATGGATCTTGCTGCCTGCAGGATACGGCTACGCGTTTCGAGGAGATTTCCTCTTTGTCAAGCCACAGAAACACTCAAAACAAGCTCTTCAATGGACACGGAGCATGACATTTGCTGATCAGTAGGGGACATGTCAGACCTATTTCTTTCTTCCTTTTTTCCCCCTTCCTTTCTTTCCTAAAAAATGAAAGTTTAAAAGGGGTTTCTTTTTTAAACTCAGGAAAATATATAAAATATTGTATTGTTTTCTTTTTTTAGCCAGCAGGTGGGGCTGTAAGCTTCTTTTCACATGGTTCAGTCTATCTTTTTACACAAAAATGCCTGTTTACAGAGATCTGTAGCTCA